AGAGTTTGAAAGCGAAAGGAAAGTTAAAAGTGATCAAAGATACAGAAAAGATAAAAGATAAGAGAAGAGGAAGAAAAATTATAAGCAAAGAAAAAGAAATAAACACAGACAGGGTGAGAGTGAGAGGGGTGAGAGTGAGAGGGGTGAGGGAGGGAGGGAGAGAGGGAGAGAGGGAGAGAGAGACAGAGAGACAGAGACAGAGAGAGACAGAGACAGACAGAGAGACAGAGACAGATATGTTCTACTCACAACATATCCAGGAGCTACATATAGTGACATTTTAATTCCATTCTCGACTCCATTGGGTGGTATCCTCCATGATGATATATTACTAGTGCTGTCACATATCAGATACAAGTCATGATCAGGGCTTCCTTCATTATCTGTAAATGGTATGAGAGTATACAAACAAATGGACAGTAATTGTGTATGCTAAATGTATTAGTAATACCACAATAATGTACAGTGTACAGTGGAACACAACCTGTTTACTATTTTATCATCTTTTATATCTCCCCCACCTCTCTCTCTCTCCCTCTCTCTCTTTCATTTCTTAACCACAAACTACAGCACAAACAGATTTTACTAATAAAATCAATTTAATAATTATTATACAGATGATGCTAAATTGCAAAATACATTTTGGTGAAATTAATTTTATGTAGACAATGTACATGTACAAGTAAATTTTTGATTAAAGTATGCTTCCTTCATTTTGCGCTAACCATTGACTATTAGCACTTCCCCTTTCTAATAATAATGATGTACATGTACAATGTACATAGTTCTACACGTACCACCCTTCCACTCATAATTTAACCTCTTTCTAACAATATCCTTTTCCATTTACTCATTCACAACATTTACTCTATTATTTATACTTTCTTCCTCTCTCTTACTCCTTACCTATCAGTTGATGTCCTGCTATATACAAATCAACACTTCTCCTTTTATTGGGACAAAGATGAGATCCAGTACAACAAACAATGAAATAATTGTAGAATAAGAAGAGAAGAAGAAAATAAAGAGATCCTCTAGTAATTGACATCATTAAAGGTCAAAGAATCCCCAGAGAACAGGATTAATGGGCTCAATAATAACACTTTAATGAGAAGTGTATGGTCGTCTATTGTTGAGCCGTGTCGCCTTACACCGTCTAAGACCACATGCGGCGGTGTGGTGATGTTGGGGAGACAGGGAGAAGGTCGAGAAGGAGCGGCCCAGAGATGTAGAAAACAATGGGAGAGAGAGTGGGGCGAGTGACTCTACACAAGTGAGAATTAGCTCCTTTATAAGCATTTACACTTCCTTCTTGGTAGTAATACAGTGTCAGTAAATTCCAGTAATCTGTAACCACGTGCTTGCATGCTTTCTCTTTCTGCAGAGATCCCTAAAGCCTGGTTTCCATATAGTTGCAGCTGTTGTGTGGATTCTGTGGTTAGCATACAACTGTTGTAGAGATAGACCTGATTTCTATCTCCACGATTGTTGCAACAGTGTTGTAGTAAACGTTATAACACCCCCGCTAGGGATACATCGCATTTGTATGACCGAGCCCGAGGGCCGCAGGCCCGAGGGCGAGGTCATACAAATTCGATGTATCCCGCAGCGGGGGTGTTATCAACATATTTGTGTAATAATGAGTGGGCGTATCAAAGGCGCGCGCCAATGCGCATGCTCAGTAGCAATACACCTCATGGTAAAATGAAAGCAATGGAGGACAGGAGGCTCAGAAAAAGGTAATTTATCAACAGATTTAGGCTTTAGGTTGACATATCTAATCTATTTTCAGGCTATGATATCTGGAAGAGTATAATCTAGGTCAGGAACAGAGATCCCGCGCTTGCTAACGGGCCCGTGTTTCGATGACTTTACCTCCCCGGCCATCTTAGTTAGCCATTGAGGTTAAGACAACCATTGATTTGAATGCGGAAGGAGAGCAGTGAACTCTACCTGCGTGAATTATTGGTCTGTGCCTCGATCTAAAGTCATCTGGACTCTGGAGCCTCCCT